TCCTCCAAGTTTCACTTTTTGTATGTTATACATCTAAATCAATTTTTGAATGAAATTGTCATATCAGATTTTCTAAAAAAAAATTTTCACAGTCTACTTCTGTGGTCTTTTCAAAATCAGTCATGGATGGAATATCTAATAAACATTTAAAGGGGTCCTATTATGCTCTTTTACAAAGTCTTGATTTTGTTTTGGGGGTGTACTAGGACAGGCTCTCATACTAGGTTGTTCGAAAAACACATTATTTTTCACATATTTTACATTATTACAACACCTCTCTCCTCAGTCTGGCATGAATGGCTCGAACAGTTCCTCTATCAAATGAAGGCCCGCCTTCTGAAATACGAAATGTGCTGTGATTGGTTAGCTGGGCCAGTGTGTGTTGTGATTGGCACCACTCGGCGCCTGGTCGGGAAATGTCACACCCCTTACCATAGCCGCCTGCGATCTTCAGTGTAAATATTGCGTCAAAATCAAATCAATTTAAACCCGGATGATTGTAACCACTCTAAGTTCGTCTGCCTTGGGAAAGCTAGCGTAGTTTTGCAAACTAATTTTCAGTGGAAGTTGCTAAAGGAAGGTCAATTTGTTGCTAAATGATGTTGTGATGTCATTGCATGAAATCTCAGCAAAATTTTCTATAAATGTCCATTTAAATTTGTTCGTAAAATAATATAAATGCATAATATAATATTAATATAAATAAATATTTTTAAATACAACACTGAATTATTGAACACTTAGTAAATTAGTAAAACTACACATTCTGAACAATTATAGTTTTAAGCAGTGTATTAGTAGTTAGTTAGTGTGCTACACCCTAAGAAAAGTCTGTAAAAATAGGTCACAATCTTCTATGTTAATATGAAAGCGTTTTCTGTATTATTATTTTTTACCTGCATTTTAAATTATGCATTGTATTATCTTGTGTTTTCAGGTTGCAGGGTTACAACGGATAATGGATTGGAATATAATGGATGGATGATGGATAATGGATGTCCTGGAAAATTACTAGTACCTTTTCTAGATATTTTTCTTACAGTGTACTAATTGATCAACAATCACAGGTACAAGCTAACAAGGTGTATCATAAATGAACAATTACACAATTATTATTATTAAATGGAACAGTTGCAAATAGCAACTAAAGTAATGTGTGTACTGCTAGGCATCTTTGGTTTTCTATTTTTGTGTAATTTAGTTGGAAAATGTGCACCTTTTTATTGTTTGAGTCACTTATCAAAAGTTGCCAAATAAATTGTAAAAGTAGCTAAACTTGTTGCTGGGTGCTTTTGGGAGAAAAAGTTGCTAGGGTAGTCTGAAAAGTTGCTAAATTTAGCAACAAAATTGCTAAGTTGGCAAAACTGAGCTAGCCTGTCTCCGACATAGTGATAACACTCGTAGCCTTCTCTAGTGCAGCTCAACCAGGTCTCGTCCCATTCGTCAATATTTGTGATATCACAAATCCCGGAAAATATGCGTTGTAGTCCAAACGAGTCGTTCGTCATAGTTTTTGAAAAGTGATTTCTGTTAAATAAAATCTCCTTTTGAAGTGGACTTTGAACTTTGTAGATCTTTTTTATGTTCAAACAGCAACATTACAGACTAACTAAAGTTGAAAAAGCATAATAGGACCCCTTTAAAGTAATCGACTGAATAACAATCAGTTAATAGGCATAGATATTTAAAGATAAACCTGTTGCTCTCATGAACTCAAGGAAACACAGGAATGCATGTTAGGTAGGCACACTGCTGCTTGCAGTCAGTAAGAGTTTTATGTTGACCCAGACTACATTTATAAAAAATAAAATAAAAAAAATCAGTAAAACAGTATAAAAATAATGGTTTCCTGTTTTACTCTATTTTAAAATGTAATGTATTCCTGTGATGCAAAGCTGAATTTTTAGCGGCCATTACTCCAGTGTCACATGATCCTTCAGAAATCATTCTAATATGATGATTTGTTGCTCAAACAATTCTTATCAGGTGAAAGCAGTTGACTTGTTTATTGTGGAAATGTTTTTTTGGGGGGGGATTTGATAAACAAAGTTGAAAAGAACAGCATTTATTTGAAATCAATTTAATGTATACCTGATGAAATGAAAATATTCATAAAAAATAAAAAACCTAACCCCAAACTTTAAGCAGTATTGTATATACAATACCTGCCATGACAGCAAACTGGCTTATGGCAATACTTCTTGCAATAGTGCACACACCATTCACCTAAAACGTTTTTTTTCAATGCAATTCCGACTACATACAGTGAAAAATACACCCTAACCTCAGTCGTTCAAGACAAGACCAGCAGGAATTTGAGCACTTTAAACATCCTGTTGCTCTCTTTTTCCTTTCCTTAAAAGTGTTCCCATTTTTAAAGCCAGGAAGCAGTTTTGTGGAACGATGATAGAAAAATTGATTGTGAAATCTATTTAGTGCGGCTATCGATTTCCCCATAAGGGGAAGGAAGGCAGACCGTGTGAGTAAGATAATGGAATATGGAACGGGGGAGCAAGAGCCCAGAAATGGGAAGTGACACTGGTTAATGGAGTAGAACTGGGCTGTTTTAGGTGGGGTATGAGAGTGTGTGCACATACATCCGTGTGAGAGGTCCCCACAGCTACAATAACACTCCACAGTTTGCTCTGCATTTCAACTCATCCATTTTAAAAGGACAGCTGATGCAAAAAAACTTAATTTGGTCATTACTAATGCAATCTAATGTCATTCCAAATCAGTCAGCTGTTATTTACCCAAAGAAAACAAAATAAGCATTTTTGTTTGCGTGTTTTAAGCAACACGACTGCACTGATAATAAATGTAACCTGAGGATCAAATACTATATCATATATTGAAGGATCATGTCACACCGAAGAATGGCTGCGGAAAATTGAATGACATTTTACAATATATTAAAATTCATTAAATATATGCAGTCTTGGTGAGCATATTGGCCCCTAAGTTTTAGTAACATATGTGAAAGGTGGATTCTTACCACCTGCAGCATTGTTGTAGATCACCAGACATCTTACAATTCCTTTTCCACATCATTGGACAGACACAGATTTTGTCACTGACTTATATTGGAAAGGAAGGAAAGTCGGTCTGGAAGAAAGACTCAGAGCAGTGAACACACAATATTGACGAAACAATGAGCTGCTAGACAGCACTGAACACATCGCTGCTACAAAAGTGACTGTCACTTCATTTGAAATCATTCACAATTATTTAAATAGTCTAGCCATAACTACTGTATAATAAGTGAAAACAATGAGCTGTCATTCCTCCTGTGCGACTGGTATATGACTCATTGTACATGCAGATCTAAGCTGTGCCATTAGCAGTCAATGCATCAAGCCATTTCAGAATTTCTAATAAGTATTTATCATTGGGGGAATCTTACTTAATGAAATTCAAATTGTCTCTGCATACATGACAGCAATGGATGACTATTTCAGCCTGGCTGCACCAGGGGAAAAATCCCTGCTGCACCTGAAAATGCTAGCAGGCAACCTGAGCACATGTGGTCAAATCATTCCTTCATGCATCGTCAATACCAGTTTCTCAATCAACACATCTTTCTTAGAGCCACATATTGTAAACAATGTTGGAGAATGAGTCAGAGTGGAAAAAAACAAACAGTTCTCATAAATATGTCAGTCTGGTGCCTACACAAACAATAACTGTCAGTGTAAACAGCATGTAAAGGAGGAAAGAGTATGAATAAACCATAGAAAGAATGAGAGAAGGAAAATGACAATCTTTTTTTTCTTCATCATGAGATCAAAAAGCATGACAAATGTAAAGAACATGTCAAACTGAAGCTTGAAACACCGAGGGCATTTAACGGTCTCGTCCTTCTATGAGGACATTGAGCTGTTTATGTGTGAACCTCTCAGTGACCGGCTACTGTCAGTTTAACAGCTCTAACCTGATGGTAGGCCCATTACGGCGAAGACCTGAGATGGTGAGAGATTAGAGGTGCGATTAGAGGAAGAACCCAATTATCCCTCAGCATGAGACGGACCACTCGAGACACTTCCGTTATTGATTTCCAATTACTTCACTGCATCTTCCATTGGACGAGCCTGATAGACAGAAACAAGCAGAATTTCATGTAGAGTTCACATGATCAGACACATTAAGCACATGAACAATGGATTCAATATGCATTATGAACAAACTGGCTTTTACATGTTGAGAATATAAACAATAATTGAAATAAAGGGAGGGTTATTCAAAAGATTCAAAGACCAAAGTCAAAAGGCAGCAAAGCAAACGAGATTTCAAATGATTCTTTACAAACTGAAAGGCTGTTACTGCCACCTTGTGGTAGAAATAAAAAAGTAAACGTACCTTTTTATTTTGGCTAAACCTGCTACAAAGACAGGTACAACTGGTGCAAAAGTCGATTTATGCTCTGGAATATATTGTCAAAATAAACTGTGAAAATACTTGCAATGACTCTGCGAGTAAAACTGAAAAACAGCATTTATTCCCATTGCTTACATTACTTATTTTACAGTTAAAAAAAACAAACAAAAAATACTGTTCAGATTAAATCGGAGCAGAAATCAGGTTTGAATAAAACAAGCAAACACACAAAACAACCAAATTGACTTCATTATATAATTGCATTGGCTTAGGATGAATTTGATTTCTATTCCATACTGTGAGGCATATAATGGCAGTGAAAAAGCAGTGTTTGTACCACACAAAATACATTTCAAGATAAATTTAAATTGACATCCTCAAAAAGTTAAACACAGCATTTATTAGAAAAAAAGCAAAGCTAGTCCTATTGGTTTACTGTGTGAAAGCTCTTTCGCCATCTAAAGGTTGAGGAAACAGATTTCCTTTTCAGAGTCCTCAATTACTGCGCTTTATCCACAACAGAGACTGAATCCACTTTGTTACGGGAAACAAAACAGCACTAAGAAAAGCAGAGGACAATACCCCTAAAATCCCATACAACTCTGGTAAATTTTACTTAACACTGCCAAAAATACAGATGACCATTTTGAGAAAGAAAAAAAAAAATGTATGGCAGTATGGTAGACTTTGCTTTCAAAATACCTTTCCATAAATGCCACCTCACCTGGCAGTTCCTTAACCTTCATAAAACAGGCACGTATGTGGATGAGGCAAAATCCTGAACAGACATAGCACAACTGTCCTCAAATCATACATCAGATCTGTTCAGGTATAGAAAAACAAACAAACAATGGAAGGAAAGAACTGAGCATCTTCAGCAACCAAAGGAAGAGTTAGGAAGTGAAAACCATGGCCATTGACCTAACTACTCTTTTCTATTGTAGCTCCCATACATGGAAAGTTTAATACTTCACATCTGTAATGCAATTGGTTCTCTCACTTTAGCACATGAATGACATCCCATTTGATGTCATTAACCAAAACTAAGTTTATAAATAAATAAATATTCCCATATAATCATATCACGCAGGAGTGATTCCTAGAGCTTTAGTCTTTAAGTGCCTGAAATCTGTAAGGGGGAACAAAGAAAAATTATACTCTATTCTTCTTAAAAAAAAAAGAAAAGAGAAAAAAAATAAAAAGTAAAACCAAGTTGGTCAAGTACATTGAAAGCTCTTTAGCACACTGTCCGGTCTGTTTAAAGTAGTAAAAGTTAGGATTTGAATTGTTCATGCAGGCACAAATACTGAAGCCATGCATTTCTTCTGGGTCTATTAATATTTTTGACCCATGATTCACACCTTCCCACTCTCAGTAGCAAATCAAGGCAGTTAACCCTCTCTTTCACCTTACAGATGCTAAGCAGATGCAAAGAGATGATGTTTTGTAAAAGCTAACAAAACAACGGCGAACCAACAATACGAGGCCAGTTTCTTTAAATTACATTCTGTACATTATATATACTTGATTTGCACTATGCAATATAAATCATCATCATAGATACCGTGCTTTCATTTTAGCCCAGAAATGGTTTGTCAGTCTCCCTGCCTTCTTCGATATAAGGGAAAAAATTTTAAAACTAGTATGCGAGTGTGCGTTTATAATACATGCATGCCTTTAAGATGTTTCGGTCATGCTATGAAGGTTTTAATGACCTTCTGTATAACCTGGCCACAGCCTGGACAAGGAGCATGAAATTTGTGTAGCCTGCGGGCACAGGGGAAACAGGTAATCAAGTGAGCTGTGCGGCCGTGGATGATGTTGCCGTTTCGCGGCCGCACTCGGCACAGCTTGCAGGGTTCCAGTATGGCCTCTGGTTGGCATTCTGTCTCCATGTCCAGCGTGTCCTGGCTGTCTCCCTCCGAGCTCTCCTGTAAGTGGTGGTGAAGCTGGGAAGGACCCTTTCCTTTAGACGAGGAGGTGGATGATGGGGGGATGTTTCTAGCGATGTGGTGCGAGGGGAGGACGACGGGGTCAGACACAGTCCTAAGGCAGTCAGGCATGTCGATTCCATCATCATCCTCCTCGTCTTCATCCCTCTCAGGACGTGAACTGCAGGCGGGGATGTCTGGCACGGAGATTGAGTGCACAAGACGAGGACAATCCTTGTACCAGTCTTTCCGCAGAGCCCAACAGCGCATACAGTACCTTTGAAGAGGGGTGTTAAATTTGCGGCACTCTGAACACTGCCACGCATCCTGCCAAAAGAAGAGGTCATTTGAATAAGATATGCCTTCCATGTATGTATAACTATTTAAGAACATAAACAGAACAATATAAAGATGATAAACTTAAATATACACAAACAGTTATTTAAATCTTACACTTTAAATATTAATTTCATTTTACAAAACTGTTCAAAAGTTTGGGATGAGTATATCTAAAACTTGTTTTCAGCAAGCAAAAAGTGACAGTTAAAACATTTATAATGCTGCAAAGGGTTTTGAAAGTAATCCTGTTCTTATTCAAATTTTTTATACAAAAAATCACTGTTTTCCAAAAAACTTAAGCAGCACAACTGTTATTAAAATATTAATATAATAAGAATAAATGTTTCTTGAGCACCAAAACAGCATACAATTATTTCTAAAGGATCATGTGACACTGAAGACTGGAGTAAGGGCTGCTGAAGCTTTGCCATCCAAGGAATAAATTACATATATTAATTCTCTCAAATATATTAAAACAGAAAAGTTATTTTAATTTGTAATAACATTTCACAGTATTACGGTTTCTAATTTTTGATAAAATACATGCAGACTTGTTGGACAGAAAATATTTCTTAAAGGGAAAGTTCACCCAAAAACAGTGATGGAAATTTTGATTCTTTCAAGAGATTCGTTCATTTTCAGTTCGTTCACCAAAATGATTCGTTCAGAGACCATTTCTTCATATTACATAAATACGCCAGCAGGTGGCGAAAAAGAGTGTCTTATGCGTTGTATTCACTTGTTACAAAAACTGATTTGGCTTTATTAAAACGTGTGCATAATCTACTCATTAAATAAATAAAGTCTAAATAAGTTGTTCAGATGACCAAAGGCACAAGGTTTTCTTGCATAATTAACATTTTAATTGTTTGGTCAGACAATCACACATTCATAAATCAGGGATTAAATGTGAAGTTATGTTCTGTATGCTAAATATGAATATATAAACAAGCGTATGTCCACAGTACCCATAACTGCGCTTTGCATATGCTTTCTGCTGATTGCTGATCGAGATTGACTAACATGCTAAATGGCCGACTGACCCGGTACACTCATTAATTTCGTTCACGAACGAGATGTAGCAGTTCGGTCATTTCGTTCATGAACGAGAAGATCTCTCTCGATCTCGTTCAGACTCAAAAGAAACTCGTTCAGTGAAGGGCATATTCGTTCACTACATATAACAAATCACATGCTCCGTCACATCTCATACTCGAAGGCTATTGGCTCATGGTTTAGACATTCTTTGACAGGATGAATCAGTCAACAGAGCTACCCGGTTCGCCGAGCTGCGCATGCGCTGCTAACAGCGCCGCGCTGTTCTGGAGGGAGGAATTTCAGTGAACAAGAAATACGAGTCAATGGATTACGTGAACGAGAACGATTCGTTCACCTAAAAGATTCGTTCACGAACGAAACATCACTACCCAAAAATGAAAATTCTGTCATTAATTACTCACCCTCATGTCGTTCCAAACCCGTAAGACCTTCGTTCATCTTTGGAACACATATTAAGATATTTCTGATGAATTCCGAGAGCTCTCTAACCCTCCCATAGACAGCAAGGATACTACCACGTTCAAGGTCCAGAAACATAGCAAGGGCATCGTTAAAATTGTCCATGTGACATAAGTGGTTCAACCCCAATTTTACGAAGCTACGAGAATACTTTTTCTGTGCAAAGAAAACAAAAATAACGACTTTATTCAACAATTCGTCTCCTCCGTGTCACCCTGGCGCCATTTTGGAGAGTATCCACCGAATGTAAAGAACGTATGCAGCACCATGCGGAAACGTTGTTTTTGTTCAGATCAAAGCGTAAACAATGTATCCATGTGGCGCTGCTGACACAGAACAGCATACGTTGTTTACGTTCAGTGTTTACTCTCCAAAATGGTACCAGGGTGATGCGGAGGAGACAAATTGTTGAATAAAGTTGTTATTTTTGCTGTCTTTGCACAGAAAAAGTATTCTTGTAGCTTTGTAAAACTACGGTTGAACCACTGATGTCACATGGATTATTTTAACGATGCCCTTGCTACGCTTCTGGACCTTGATCGTGGTATTCTTGCTTTCTATGGGAGGGTCAGAGAGCTCTGGGAATTCATAAAAAATATCTTAATTTGTTTTCCCAAGATGAACGAAGGACTTACGGGTTTGGAACGACATGAGGGTGAGTAATTAATGACAGAATTTTCATTTTTGGGTGAACTATTCCCTTAAGTAGGTAGGTCAGTATCGGCACTGGCCATTTAAAAATAATTTAAAAACGGTTGATCACTAATAAAGAACAGCAAAAGTACTATTTTTCTTATACGCATACCTGTGTGGAGATCTCAGTATCAGTGTCATCACTTAAACACTGAGAGTCATCATCCTGATCTTCCTGCATCTGAAAGTGAAAATTAATTGCATTAAGCTGGTTATGATGACTCAATAATGTTAAAACAAAACAGTCAATAAAGAAAAAACAACATTACCTTCCTGTCATCTTTACTATCTTTCCCGGTCTCCTCTTCTTCATGTGGGGACTCCACGTCACTTCCCTGCTCCAGCACTGCCTCCTTCATATCCACACTAACTTGCTCGCTCTCTGCCTCATTCAGGAACCAAAGATCATCTGTGGTGTCAGAAACAATGGCCGTGTCCTCGTCCTGTCCGGGAGAGAGCTGTTCCCTCAGTCTAGTTGTGTGACAGTCTCACTACAATGACTAAACTCCAATAAGACTGAGTTTTTTTAAAAGTTTTTTTTTTATTCTTGTTTTTCTTCATGAAAATAACCATATTAATTATGTTCTGGTTATCGTGCCCTCTTACTTGATTGGTGTGAATATCCGTTGAACCGTTGCTCCGGCGAGTGTAATTACTTCGCAGGTTACCCAGAAACCACCAAGGCAACCCAGAAAGGTCCCACTCTTCCAGAGTAACGTCCAATTTTGGCCGTTTGCAAGCAGACCTGGGCAAGCCGTCTGAGGAGTCTGTAAGATCAATATCTGATCTTAAATTACATATTACAATGGAAAAATTGATGGATAATGATAATATTGATTACATTGTCTAAAGTGTGTTTGGTGATTCATGCTGACCTTCATCAGGATCGCGTGGCCTGCGCTGCGAGCAGCTCTGCATTGCACCAGTGCTGGAACTACCAGCAATGAGAGCCTGTCCAGAGCTAATCAACCCACTGGAAACCTACACGGTAAGGGAAAAATCGAATCAGCATACAGTAATGACATGACACTCGGTAGGACAGCAGTTCCTTCACAGCAGGCACCCGTGTGTGTGGCAACAAAAGGCCAAGTTCTCACAAGTTGTGGGAGAGGAAAAAATAGGACGTTTCTAAAAAGGTTGCTTAGAATGGGTAACAAATGATGGAGACATTAGACACAGCTGCAGCTGTAAGTGCAAATAAAGTAGCAACAATCAAGTAGACACCTTGTATCTAAATTACATCTCACCAATGTGTAATTACTAATAGGGCTGGGAGATATATAAAAAAAAATTATATCTCGAGATTGTCAATTTTTACGATATTCAATACATATCGCGATATGTTTGCATTTGCTTTTAAATAATAAAAACATGAATTAGTTTGCCCCCATTCAAAAAAAACAACAAAAACAATTTAGATAGAAGTTATTGTTACAAAGTAAATACAAAATGTTAAGTGCAAATTTAAGCAGTTAAAAAAAATCTAGACCAAGTGATAACTTACTGCTTTTTATTAAATGAACATGTAACTGAAGTAGCGCAAAACAAGTACAGAAAGTGCATTCTGTCAATTTTATTGGTGCATGCAATTTACACTGTGCAACTGGGGGAAATAATTAAACTGGGATAAGTTTTTTTTAACAAGTTTTTAGCTAAGATCACAAGCCTGTCAACTGTCTCTGGTTTAAGAGAAGCTCTGTGGCATGAAACTATGTTCCCACTGGCACTAAAAACCCTCTCAGATGGAAAGCTAGTTGCTGGAACACATAGGTATTTTTTATATTATATATACAGTGGGGCAAAAAAGTATTTAGTCAGCCACCAATTGTGCAAGTTCTCCCACTTAAAAAGATGAGAGGCCTGTAATTTTCATCATAGGTATACCTCAACTACTTGCTCGCTCTCTGCCTCATTCAGGAACCAAAGATCATCTGTGGTGTCAGAAACAATGGCCGTGTCCTCGTCCTGTCCGGGAGAGAGCTGTTCCCTCAGTCTAGTTGTGTGACAGTCTCACTACAATGACTAAACTCCAATAAGACTGAGTTTTTTTAAAAGTTTTTTTTTTATTCTTGTTTTTCTTCATGAAAATAACCATATTAATTATGTTCTGGTTATCGTGCCCTCTTACTTGATTGGTGTGAATATCCGTTGAACCGTTGCTCCGGCGAGTGTAATTACTTCGCAGGTTACCCAGAAACCACCAAGGCAACCCAGAAAGGTCCCACTCTTCCAGAGTAACGTCCAATTTTGGCCGTTTGCAAGCAGACCTGGGCAAGCCGTCTGAGGAGTCTGTAAGATCAATATCTGATCTTAAATTACATATTACAATGGAAAAATTGATGGATAATGATAATATTGATTACATTGTCTAAAGTGTGTTTGGTGATTCATGCTGACCTTCATCAGGATCGCGTGGCCTGCGCTGCGAGCAGCTCTGCATTGCACCAGTGCTGGAACTACCAGCAATGAGAGCCTGTCCAGAGCTAATCAACCCACTGGAAACCTACACGGTAAGGGAAAAATCGAATCAGCATACAGTAATGACATGACACTCGGTAGGACAGCAGTTCCTTCACAGCAGGCACCCGTGTGTGTGGCAACAAAAGGCCAAGTTCTCACAAGTTGTGGGAGAGGAAAAAATAGGACGTTTCTAAAAAGGTTGCTTAGAATGGGTAACAAATGATGGAGACATTAGACACAGCTGCAGCTGTAAGTGCAAATAAAGTAGCAACAATCAAGTAGACACCTTGTATCTAAATTACATCTCACCAATGTGTAATTACTAATAGGGCTGGGAGATATATAAAAAAAAATTATATCTCGAGATTGTCAATTTTTACGATATTCAATACATATCGCGATATGTTTGCATTTGCTTTTAAATAATAAAAACATGAATTAGTTTGCCCCCATTCAAAAAAAACAACAAAAACAATTTAGATAGAAGTTATTGTTACAAAGTAAATACAAAATGTTAAGTGCAAATTTAAGCAGTTAAAAAAAATCTAGACCAAGTGATAACTTACTGCTTTTTATTAAATGAACATGTAACTGAAGTAGCGCAAAACAAGTACAGAAAGTGCATTCTGTCAATTTTATTGGTGCATGCAATTTACACTGTGCAACTGGGGGAAATAATTAAACTGGGATAAGTTTTTTTTAACAAGTTTTTAGCTAAGATCACAAGCCTGTCAACTGTCTCTGGTTTAAGAGAAGCTCTGTGCCAAGTACTTCTTACTGATACCACAGCAAAAACTACTAACCTAAATAAGATAGATCAAACATGATTAAAGACAAGTGAACAGCCAGTAAAAAATAACAAATACACAAATTACAATGATAGATAAATACAACAGATCAAAATTACAAATAAAATAATGTCCAACGGTATTATTCAGGTACAGAAATGTATTAAGTGTAAAATAGCACTGCATAGTAGGGCTGGGCGATATATATAAAAAACAATTATATCTCGAATTTTTACGATATTCAATATATATCTCGATATGTTTGCATTTGCTTTTAAATAATATGAAAACATGAATTTCTTTTGCCCCCATTTAAAAAGCAACCAAAACAATTTAGATAAAAGTTATTGTTACAAAGTAAATACAAAATATTTAGTGCAAATTTAAGCAGTTAGAAAAAAAATCTAGACCAAGTGATCACTTACTGCTTTTTATTAAATGAATACATGTATATGTAACTGAAGTAGCACAGTAGCACTGTGCAACTGGAGGAAATAATTTTATTAAAGTTTTTAACTGAGAACACAAGTCTGTCAACTGTCTCTGGTTTAAGAGAAGCTCTGTGGCATGAAACTATGTTCCCACTGGCACTAAAAACCCTCTCAGATGGAAAGCTAGTTGCTGGAACACATAGGTATTTTTTATATTATATATACAGTGGGGCAAAAAAGTATTTAGTCAGCCACCAATTGTACCATGGCCAAGACCAAAGAGCTGTCAAAGGACACCAGAAACAAAATTGTAGACCTGCACCAGGCTGGGAAGACTGCATCTGCAATAGGTAAGCAGCTTGGTGTGAATAAATCAACTGTGGGAGCAATTATTAGAAAATGGAAGACATACAAGACCACTGATAATCTCCCTCGATCTGGGGCTCCATGCAAGATCTCACCCCGTGGGGTCAAAATGATCACAAGAACTGTGAGCAAAAATCCCAGAACCACACGGGGGGACCTAGTGAATGACCTGCAGAGAGCTGGGACCAAAGTAACAAATGCTACCATCAGTAACACACTGCGCTGCCAGGGACTCAAATCCTGCAGTGCCAGATGTGTCCCCCTGCTTAAGCCAGTACATGTCCAGGCCTGTCTGAAGTTTGCTAGAGAGCATTTGGATGATTCAGAAGAGGATTGGGAGAATGTCATATGGTCAGATGAAACCAAAATATAACTTTTTGGTAAAAACTCAACTTGAGGAGAAAGAATGCTGAGTTGCATCCAAAGAACACCATACCTACTGTGAAGCATGGGGGTGGAAATATCATGCTTTGGGGCTGTTTTTCTGCAAAGGGACCAGGACGACTGATCCGTGTAAACGAACGAATGAATGGGGCCATGTATCGTGAGATTTTGAGTGAAAACCTCCTTCCATCAGCAAGGGCATTGAAGATGAAACGTGGCTGGGTCTTTCAGCATGACAATGATCCCAAACACACCGCCCGGGCAATGAAGGAGTGGCTTCGTAAGAAGCATTTTAAGGTCCTGGAGTGGCCTAGCCAGTCTCCAGATCTCAACCCCATAGAAAATCTTTGGAGGGAGTTGAAAATCCATGTTGCCCAGCGACAGCCCCAAAACATTACTGCTCTAGAGGAGATCTGCATGGAGGAATGGGCCAAAATACCAGCAACAGTGTGTGAAAACCTTGTGAAGACTTACAGAAAACGTTTGACCTCTGTCATTGCCAACAAAGGGTATATAACAAAGTATTGAGATGAAATTTTGTTATTGACCAAATACTTATTTTCCACTATAATTTGCAAATAAATTCTTTAAAAATCCTACAATGTGATTTTCTGGATTTTTTTTTCTCATTTTGTCTCTCATAGTTGAGGTATACCTATGATGAAAATTACAGGCCTCTCTCATCTTTTTAAGTGGGAGAACTTGCACAATTGGTGGCTGACTAAATACTTTTTTCCCCCACTGTGTATATATGTATATATAAATTAATACCAAAGAATTATGCACTCTCTCAATCTATATTATGAAAACTGGTAAAACAAATAAAAAACATTATAACAGTGCATTTATTCAGCGATCACAATCGCAAACAATATAGTCGAGATCTCAGAACAGAACACAGACTGGTTGAGTGACACTTTCATTTAGATCGTTAAACTCCAGCTTGTTTGTTGGTGTTATCAGATAATTTCAGAATTTCAGCACATGGTTGCCAGATTGCTTAGAATAAGCAAAAAACTGGACAGAAAATGTATGCTTGTAACAGCGAAGCTCTGATTCGAGGATTTGAACTATTGATATCTGGCATCCGCACTCATGAAAGCAGTCCGCATTAACATGTCTCCTTTTTTGGGCGTTCGGCATGTTCTTTTGGTAAAGTATGCTTGAATTTGAAATATTCGATATTCATGATATTTTCTCATTTTACATCGTCGTCAAAATTATTGCGATATTATCACTAATATTCGATATATCGCCCAGCCCTAATTACTAGTAAAAAAAGTCAATCCAAAATAACACCTTTTAAAGTTCATATTATTAGCATAAATCACTCAAAGCCTTTCTATTTAAAGTCTAGCACAAATTAGCACAAACGCATGACAGTACCAGGCACCTCCTCCCAGACTGCTTTTCCCAACTCCACCTAACTTCATTCCGCCAACTCACAACCGTAAACCGTCATGCCAATGGTGTTAAATGTGGATGGGTGTATGACAGAGGGGAAAGGGGAGAAAAGGGCCAGTGAACTGAGAAGGAAGCTGCAGTCCTTCTGAAAGAACCAACGACGCAGAGAAGGAAACTCTGAGCGACAAACAGAGACAGGTACTCTGTCCCCCAGCAGCCAGGCCCATGCTGGTGGCTTCTCCGGAAGGACCACCAGACCAAGCCGGCCGTGGGGAAGTACAGAGACGGTGCCACTCTGTACAGATACGGCTGGCGGAGACAGCTGCCACCCTCCCCTTCGTGGCAAACAGTCTACTGATCATGATGCAATTCTACACACAAAAAATTGCATTGTAGCAAAAGTCTGAGCAACTACAATGTAAAGAAAAGATGTGAAAGCTTGAGAAGACAATTATGGGCATTAATGCAACATTGATTAGAGCGCACACATTAAAAAAATGTAAAAAGCTGACAAATGTAAAAGGTTGTAAGTATTGTTTGCTCAATGACCTAAATCATATATATATATATAAAAAAAAGTACAATACATTTTGTACTCAAAATGCCCTGCACAAAGCACTTTTGTCAGCCTTTCATTTACAAAGAAATCACAAGTAACAGAATTAATCAATAAATTAGATTTATCATGATCAGGATTTATTTGATTTTCTGATCAATTGTTTGCCATGAAGAGGAGTAGCGGACACTGTTTCTCCTCTGCACCATGCTTTAGTTTTACCTGACCAGGATCTTCACTTGGAGACTCATTAGAATCCTTGCCGACTGAAAGATTCTTTGCTGCATCTGTATTTCAAATAAGACACAGTAACAAAACAAACAAAAGAAAAAAAACAGCCCTTTATTCACCAAGCACACCTCAAGCACACTTGGCCCAAACGTAATGCCTGAATCTGTGGTGGAAAATGGTGTTTCTAATAAATATTAATATTAGTTTTATTATTTAAATATTTTATTTAACCTAGTCAAGTATTTAACGTGAAGTCAAGATTCTGTATGAAGATTGCACAGTACACTAACCTGATAATACAATTTAAAAAGTTAGGTGGAAAAAAAAAAAAAAGTTTTTACATACCCACTGTAGCACACCTCACATTCAGACATACATACACACACACACACCTTAAAATGAAAGGTGGGGCTAATCAAAATGAAAGAAAGCAAGAGAGTAAAAGGGCTAAATGACAGCATGACAAGTCATTCAAAATATGCATCTTTGGGAGATCAAATTCAACAACAATTAGAATGGACTTACCCGAATTATTCAACATAAACAAATTCCTCTTCAACATCTCATACACAGGGCTATGAAAGGCAGAAAAGAAAGATGTAAATACCTGATACATGTTAATTCTCAAGGTATTCAGAGTTAGCTGTTAAAGGGGTAATTCATCCAAAAAGACCACTCTGTCACCATTTACTCACTCTCATGTTGTTCTAAACTTGCATGACTTTCTTCTACCGAAAATGAATGTTAGCGTCCCCTTGTGTCAATTTGGAAACATACTAATAACTTGTCAGTTGATAATGTACATTTTCAGCTGTATTTGACTGCAATTTAATGTGTGTGTGTGTGTTTTATACTGGTCATCATCCAAACAACTAGCTGTCTAGATATTGTCAACAACTGAAAAAAACAGACACAAATGAGAGATATCTTTTTGTTTTCACTGCCATTTAAATCTCCTTTCTGGTAGTTATGAACTCACCTGGGGTTCTTAACAGAAAAGCTCCCCACTTCCAGTAGCTCTCCAAGTGGGTCATCTTGACAGTGGACAATGTGTTGTCTCTGTTTGTCATACAGCTCCTTCATCATGATGTACTGACCCAGGTAGTGCATAACCTAATTAAAAACACTGCCTTTATTAAATGTACCTTATCAAGCTGTTCAAAATCTTATCCAAAGCATGTGTCAATAAGCAGAGGTCAGCTCATAAACACTCCTCACCTCCTTCAGGGTAAACACCTCCTCCCGAGCACCTGCTACTCTCAGGATCTGCAGCAAAGGAGCTCTGGGGTGGACCTGCAGAATCAAAAACCCACGTTTTACAGTATGAAGCCTACTTTATCATATTTGATACATGAACTAAGGCCTATAAATTATAAAATAATCAAAACTTTGCTTCAAATTCTGTTGCACACAACCTACTACACGAACACGCCCTATGATTGATAATTACTTTTTTGAGATATGTATTTTTTAGTAAGTAAGTAAATGGCCTTTTATAGTGTAAGTGTAAAAATGTCCACTTTCAGCTATGAAATCTTGTTCATAATCTTGAAATTGTATAAAGTAAATGTAAGAACTTGGTAGTAATATTTTAAAATAAACATGTACGGATTGAAGCAACTTTTACTGACTGGTATACTGAACTATCCATACATATTTAAAAAAGCATGTTAAAATGTAAATATCAAATATGATTTAACAGGCTTGTGATTAATGTTTCTTTGTTCATCACTCAAACATTATATTGCATTATATGCTTGCCCCCACAATTAAGATAATGTAAATAGCATCTTAAGTCGTATTATTAGAAAGACATTGAGACAACGGATAATTAAAAGTCTCATTGGTTTACATCACAAGCGATCAGAATTTCATCTTACTAACTGAATCCACCCAAATCACATATGTTTAGTCCGTTTGGGCCTCTGAATAAAACTGTGTGGGTTTTTTTTTTATGAGTAAGAGCTCCTATCTTACTACCTAGGCCTGACGTATCAAATAAGACAAAACTATTTTAATTCTATTTTTAATATTCTATCAACTTGTTTTTCTTTGTGTGTGTGTGTATGTATGTATGTGTATATATATGTATGTAGAACTAATAATACAAAAAATGAAAAAAGAAATAAAAAAGAAAAAAGCATATATTATTCTTAGTTAATGTTAATGTCAACATTTTCTAATGCATTATTTAATGGACCTGAGCTGACATTAAAAAAAAAACACCAAAAAACTAACAACCACTAGCTTTCTATTTTTAATATTCTATCAACTTGTTTTTCTTTGTGTGTGTGTGTGTATGTATGTATGTGTATATATATGTATGTGTGTGTATGTGTATATATATATATATGTGTATGTATGTATATATATGCGTGTATATATATATGTGTGTGTGTATGTATATATGTATATATATGTTTGTACGTACGTATATGTATTGTATATATATATACAGTGGGTACGGAAAGTATTCAGACCCCCTTAAATTTTTCACTCTTTGTTATATTGCAGCCATTTGCTAAAATCATTTAAGTTAATTTTTTTTCCTCATTAATGTA